TAGATCTCACACACCTATGAAATGGATTTATCTATTCATAAGAAAGATTTTAAAGCAATTGAAATTCTTAGAAAAAGATAACATTATGATATCTGTTACATATTGTAGAATCAAAGGAGGCTTGTAGCTATACAATGTAAGTGGTTGCAGATGGCCCTGTTCTTGTACATGGTCAATGTTGGGCATCTACCATGGCTCATGAGAGACAGGAACAACTATAATTGACACTCAGTTTTACTGTATCAAGGCCATCACTTTGTTCTAGACTCCAACTTCCTTTTGCTGTAAATTCTTATCCAAGCTAGAGCAACATGTGTCAGGACTAAAGAAAGGGAAGACTATTGCTATTCAAAATGTGGTCCACATATAAGTAACACAGAACTTGTTAAAAATTAAGAATCTAGATCTTTTGAAATGTAATCTTCATTTTAAGAAATCCTCAGGTGATCAGTATGTACATTAAAGTTCTCAAACTCTAATTTAGAGATCTGAAAGATGGCCTAGATACTCAGTATACAGCCTTCTTTCTCTCCCTAAATCCTGTCTTTAAAATACCACTTGTTAGGGGCACAGAGGTGGCTCAGTTGGTTAAACTCCCTACTCTTGATTTTGGCTGAGGGAGTCTTTGAGATTCTTTCCCTCTGTCCCTCTGCCTCTGCTTGTGTGTAAGTGTGTGTGCTCTCTCTCTCTTCTCTCAAGTAAATAAATAAATCTTTAAAAAAATAAAATAAAATAGCACTTGCTAACCTCTTTTGTAAAAGCTAACCTCGATTATGAATTCTTTGAGATAGATAATATGCTAATTATTCAAATCATAAAAATATGCTAACTATTCAAATCATAAAAATAAAAAATAAAATTTAAGCAAAGTTTCATTTTCATAAAAGAAATAAATGAAGCAAAAAAAAAAAGAAATAAATGAAGCAAACAGAAAGAAATCAAGTCTGCGGTTTATCACATAATGTTTTTCCTGGATATAATTTTTTTCTATTTTGTACATTAATTTTCTCTGAAATTCACTTTTATATTAAAACTAAACCTATGCAGAGATAATTAAAGGCAGAGAGTGTCCTCATTTGGCCCACTAGAGAAAAAGCAAGAAACGTCCCTTTTGACACTGGCATATCAATTCAAATCTATAATGAAAGATTAGCAAAAAGGACTTCACCATAAAAAATCATGAGTTTTACATCAATATTTTCAACATCATTGTATGTTCAAAGTAAGATGGCATGTAAATGAAACCTTATTTTATTTTAATATCCAAACCATATTTTTCCTTCATGAGACGTGAAAAAAAGAACAAATTCCCATGTGCATTGTCTATAAGAGGATAAGCTCACATAAGGACGTGTAAAATGTGTGCCTTTTTGGCCATGTCTACCTAAGTACTATGATGGGGAGGATAAAATGTCCCATTTTCCCCCCACAATATTGACTAAATACAAGCTGTTTTCAAATGTGTTTCCAGGGCTTCAACATGCAAAATATATGGAATTAAATATTTTTTAGCTCTTTAGTTCATGTAAATAAAAACATCCTGCAGCTTTTAGTTTTTAAAAGTCTGCCTAAGCAGATTTTTGTTCATTTTGGAGATAAGCATAAAAGTAGGAGATAGTGCAATTTTAAAAATTCATGGTAGGTGCTATTTGTTGGGGGAGGATACTATTGTTAATCTGAATCAGCCCTTCAAAGTAATCAAGCCAACTAAATTCCTAGAATATACCATAAGAGTAAAATTGTTTTCTACTCTACAGTGAGATCCTATTCAATAAAGCCATTTTCTTATCAAACTATAAATTTGGAAACAAAATATTGTATCTAAACATGGTACTGTGAGCATTTTAATTCTGTTAGGGCCAAAATAATGATAAACATGGATAATAGTAATAATCCCTTTCCCCAAAGAGTCCTAGAAATCCTAATTTACTGACTGGTAGCTACTTTCACTAAGTAGAAATACAGTAATTTAATAATCTTACCATAGCAGTTTTCACTAAAGAAAATTAACTAATTCATTATTGCTTATAATTTGCTGAGGCATAGCTGCCATATTTGTAAAATCAGCAGGTTCTGAAAAAAAACACAAGTTTTTAAATGAATGTTCAATTTCCCCCTAAACACATAAATGATACAATTACTTAGCTCCCTCTAGTGCCAATTTCTAAAATAAACTTAATCGTAATAACTATATTCTCCATGCAATTTTGGAGCAAATGAAAATTTTACTTGGCGGTAATTAACAAGCAAACTTTCAAGGGTTTAGCAGATTGAGTTTGGATTGGAACTGGACAGGATTCAACTGATGACACTGTCCTAGGTAGGCTCATGGCTCCAGTTAAAATAATGGTATTTCTTCACAAGAGTCATTTGATATGGTCCAATTAAAAACAAATTCACCAAGGTTATAGCAAAAGAATACTGATAAGAGAAATTAAGGTTTACCACTGAATATCTTTGTACACCTAATTTAGCTATAATCTCATTTAATTTGTGGTTTGTATTCATCAAAATTCAAACAAACAAATTTAAAGATCCAAGAAGAATGACACTTTAATGTATCTATCAAAGAACACTGGAATAAAAATTAATTTGCAAGTGTACATAAAAAGAGAGCAAAGTATATGGATTTTTAAAAATCCCAATAACCAAAATATCTAACTTAATGACCATATATTTCCTTAGAATTTCTCTTAGACTGAAGCATACATATGAATTTTATTTTTAATTAAGAATAATATAAATATGACTTTAATAGGTAGATATGAATGTATTGAATGCATTTAAAGGCAAGGTGACACAGTTTGTAGAAAAAGAGGAAACAGTCTCAAATAGAATCTATTGAGTAAAAAACTGCAATAAAACTAATGAGTATTCTAGGAAACCAAAATTTTCACAGTACTTTGTGTATTTATTTGCTTGTTTGTTTGTTTTTTAAAGATTTTATTTATTTATTCATGAGAGACACAGAGAGAGAAGCAGAGACAATAGGCAGAGGGAGAAACAGGCTCCTTGCAGGGAGCTGGATGCAGGATTTGATCCTGGAACTTGGGATCCGGCCCTGAGCAGAAGGCAGATGCTCAACTGCTGAGCCACCCAGGCATTCCTCATTTGCTTATTTTATTTTGTAATATAGCACGAGGGCTGAGTGAGAAGAGAACAAGGATTTTGGATTCAGATGATATGTACGTGGTTAATAAAACTAACTGCTAACTGTAAGTCTCTGTAAAACACAGGTATTGCTTCCTATCAATAGTGTTGTTATGAAAATTAAGATACTTTATGTGTGAAACATAACTGAACGATAACTAATAACTTTTTCCTAATATGCTGGTAATAAAAAAATGTTCACAGAATAAAAATAATTTATAATTGAATTATACTTGTGGTCATTGAGAACATAAATTTTATTACTGCTTAGAAATTTCTAAGAATTAGCATTTTAAAAAATTATCTTTTTTTTTGTTTCAATAAACATTTTTGTGTTCTATGCAATTAACATAAGTGGTCTTTTCTCCAAGCTGAGGGTAAGAGATGGCACAGAGATCTTTAAAAAAATGTTTATAAGTATCTGAAATTTCTGGCGAGTTTACAAACTCAATGAAGAACATTTTAGAAATATTTTTAAATATTCCAGAATTTAGGATAAATAGGTAAACCTGTGCTATTGTTTCTAAATCTTAATAAAGACTAATAACTAAATATTGTAATCTAATTACATAAATAATATTTTACAATTATGTCTTTCCTCTTCATCCTTGATTCAATGAAAGAAACACAAATCACTAGAAAGATGAGGTTTTTCTCCTTAATTATTGAAAAATATAGAGATAGCCTATAGTTACTTAGTTGCTTTCTTGGTTTATTTACCTGTAGCCATAACTCTCTTGATCACTTACTGTTGTTCACTGTTCTAAGAGTTCCCTTTCTCTTTAACTGGGTAGATTTGGGGAATCATCAACAATAAAAAATGAATTTTAAAAACTTTTTTTTTAAAGAGAGAATAGGGGAGGGGCAGAGGGAGAGGAAGAGAGAGAATCTTAAGCAGACTCTTCATTGGGAGTGGAACCCGACACAGGTCTCAATCCTACAACCCTGAGATCATGTCCTAAGCCAAAATCAAGAGTTGGATGCTTAACCAACTGAGCCACCCAGGCACCCCAAAGATTTTATTTTTAAGAATCTCTATAGGGGTAGCCCAGGTGGCTCAGTGGTTTAGCACCTGCCTTCAGCCCAGGGCATGATCCTGGAGACCTGGGGTCGAGTCCCACATCGGGCTCCCTGCATGGAGCCTGCTTCTCCCTCTGCCTGTGTCTCTGTCTCTCTTTCTCTCTGTGTCTATTATGAATAAATAAATAAAAATATTTATATATAAAAAAAAGAATCTCTATAGTCAATGTGGGGCTCCAACTCACAACTCCAAGATCAGGAGTCACATGCTCTACCAACTGAGCCTGCCAGGTGCTTCATAAAACTAAATAAAATTTAAAGAAAAGATATTCCCTTATTTAGAACTGGAAATACAAGTTAGGCTTATTTCCCAGGAGAAAGCTGAAATCTGATTTAAAAAAAAAAAATCTTACAGTGAATCAAAGGAAAATTATTTATTTAATTCAATTTTTATTTTTTTCAAGTAAGCTCTACACCCAACATGGGTATAAGAAGTAAGGCAACAGGACTCCAGAAACCCTCTCTGAGATCAAGAGTCATATGCTCTCCTGACAGGAACCTCTGAATGTGATTCATTATACTCCTAGGAAATTTAAATAACTCTTGAAGGAGAATTGTCAACCCTCTTCAGGCCCAAGTACTTGCAGTGTACAAATTCTTAGGAAAAGAAAATTGGTTTGGAGAAAACATACCCTTAGCATAAACTATTGTTCCATTATTTCCAATTTTCAGCATTAAGAAAGTTCAGATCACTAGGATATTCATATGAAGAGAAAACAAAGAACCACAGTGAAAAGAAAAGGCATGTATTTGGATGGCTCAGTTGATTAAGTGTCCAACTCAATTTCATCTCAGGTCTTGATCTCAAGGTTATAAATTCAAGCCCCACATTGGGCTCCAGACTGGGTGTGGAGCCTGTTAAAAAAAAAAAAAAAAAAAAAGTATGTATCTGGTAAGAAAATGTTAGCAGGTTAGCAGATTTAGGTAGTGGAACAATAAATTCCATGGGTATTATAGTAAACTAGGTTTCTATCTCAGCAGAAGATCAGGTAAGCCTGGTCTATCTATGGATGGACTAAAGATCAAGAGCTAATGAGGAAACTATATTTAATCAGAATTACCCCTTAACCAAATTCCAGTTTTCTTGTCCCACCACCTTGTCTATATCAGTTCAGTTTTTACTCTAATGAGCACGAAACTTTCATAGAACAAGTTCATGTCACTTTCATTTATAGATATGAACCACATGTTTAGAATTGTCCTAATTATTCAGTAAGTTATTGCCCAGGAAACGAATCTACTGGCTGAATGTGTAGAGGGAAAACTATAATCTCTCGAACAGTCAGGATAAATTTCACTTCACACTTCCATTTGTCTTTTGAGGCCTCTATTACTGGAAAAAAGAGTTAATTACTTTGGAGAAAAATAAGAACTATGTTTTTTAAAAACAACAACAACAACATTTGGGAAGCTCATTTCCACATTTTCCTCCTGCCATGGCTCAAGCTTACATCACAAGAAACTTGAATAGAAAGTGAATGTGTCACTCCACTTGGCTAGACCACAAGATACTGGTAACAGCAACAACAAAAGCAGTGAAAGAGCTTTTTTGTCTCATGTTCTCAGAGTTTTCTTTGTATTAACACATTTGGTCCTTCCAAAAACCCTGTAATCTAGGTATTACTTTCTGTTTTACAAATGAGTAAAATGAGATACAGTAAAGTTGGGTCACTTGATCAAATCCACACAATTTAGTAAGTCAAAGATAAAAGTTGTGACGAAGTAAGGCAACAGGACTCCAGAAACAGACTTCAGCTGAGTGAATAGCATCCTAAACAGGACCTAAGGGCCCTAATCAACAGCATAATAACACAATAAACAGTAATCTCTAAGATAATAGTATAAATTTACATTTCTTTGATAATTGACAGTTTTTCAAAGTGACATTAATTCCTTTATCTCAAGTGAACCTCACAAAATGATGAGCCAGATACATCTGTCCCATCATTTCTCTTAAAAATGAGGTCACAGAAGCGATTCTATGATTTTCCAAAATCCTCCTCCTAAAGGTCTGAGGACTAGGCTAAGGAACAAAAGTTTTCACTCATAATCACCAGTAGTTTATGCCTGCAATCACAGAATTATGCAATTTTGAATTCTATTAAGGGGTTGTCGCTTTGAAAACTATAGAAATCTACTTTTAATTGGACATTCATGTAAGATCATTTAAAATTTAAATTTTAGCCAAAACTTATAAAGGAAAATGGTTCCAACATATAATGCTTTCACGTGTTCATAATAGTGCCCTCCCTAAAAAGCTGTCCCAAAGCAACACATGGGAGATAACATTCCTTCAGAATACATGATACGAGGTAGACCTATCACACCATAAGAGCAACACTAAAAAATAACTATCTCTCTAAAACACCTTTGAATAGTACAAAAGCTAACCCAGGTAATGAGGCAATGACCCTATTAGCAACTAATTCTATTTCACATTTCCGAACCTATGAGTTGATGGATACTGAAGTTTAGGTGTTTTATGGCTAAATTATACTCATAATTCCTACAGTGTGTACTATTTTTTCAATATAGTAGTAACACCTGCTGCTAAGTACAAAAATGATTAGCCACAAACCAACCTACTATAGAATATCAAAATGCATTTACCCAATGAAGAACTAATGGGAATTATGCAGATTATATTTCCTTTCCCGCTGAAGGCAACCAAGCTTCACGTCAATAGCAAAATGAAAATATAACTCAAATATGAAACAATATATACACAGAGACATAACCAAATCTATTTCTGATTATTTTAGACATGTTTCTTTTTCATGTAATTATTTGGTAACAAAGAACTGAAATAAAGGTTTAGAGCATTTGGTGTGTACCTGAATAGCTCTAAGTATTAATCAACTAAGAATATTATTCAGATACTTCATACCAAAATGCACATGCAGAATTAGAATGTAGATTGTGCATGCTAACAGAAACCAATTTTATATAATGCCTTATCATAATTAGATTTATTCTGTAACTTTCTTTTAAGCACTATTCTGCTGATAACAAAGAACTGAGAAGAGTAAGAAAGTAATGCACTTGGTCGATCAACTTTGGGAAGTCAGATGGATTTCTAAATTCTCTTTCTGTACTACTAAGTGCTAACTCAAAATGTAAAGTTATTTCTTAAGAATTTGTGTGATTGCCTAATTCATCATAAAGGTAACTGTTCTTTTAGTAGATGCCTTTCTTCGGTGGAAAACTTTCCCCAAAAGAGGAATGCAGAGATGAAACATTCCTTTATCTCTCAATCATCATCCTTTTGCAGATGGGCATCACTGCAGCATATATAATAAACTGGCTGTTTTCACTCTGAGCAACTGGCAGAGAAGAAAAGAAGCATCTTTTGAAACTGAAGATATTCAGCATATATTAAATTTAGTTAACTAGATATGTGTTTCTATTGCTGAAGCTTCAGGACATATTTGCAAATTTTAAAACTACCACCTAATCATTTTGTTGAAAAACAGCAATAGCTAGAGATTGCCCAAATCATAAAGTTCTTTGAAGAAACTCTGGGAACTGTCTTGTCTACAGAATCTTTCCTCAAGCAACAGCAGGGATGAACAGATGGGCCATACCATGCTTTTAAATGTCTATAGGTTTGGATTCTGTTTGAAAAGCTGGCAAAATTATCCCCCCAAAATTGACAAGATTTAATTTCATTGAATGTCATTATGATCATTTCTTCAACAGTAGCAAGAAAATCTCCAACAAGTAAACAAAAAGGACCGTAGGATCAAAAGAGTTTGTAGAACCTACCATTTTGTGTATTGTTAAATGATCAAAATAAACAGATATATTGAAAACTGTTGCTTTTTAAAAATTGGAAAGCTATGAGCCACAAAAGATAATAGAGCAGTACCCTCTGAGATTATGGCAAATCATTTCATTTACTGCCTGATAGTTGATTATTATAATTGTCCTTAACTATATTAATTTTCTGTTTGTTTTTGATACTGACATTCTCCATATTTATTGCACAAATTTGCCTGACTAATCTTACATGTCAAAGAGTTTGGAAATCTAAGAACTAACCAATTATAAATCGCCAATGTTGAAATTTACAGCTGATTAGTAAGCTGGAGAGTGTACTATGAAGTTCAATTGAATCTCACTAAACACTGAAATAATTCATTTGATTGTGAACCATCCACTCCAGTAATAGGAAGTTTTACACTCATTGTACAGGGCAACCTAGATCATTTAAATACATTCTTAATAATAAAGGCTGACTTTTAACTGGTTTCTACAAACCAACATATTGAATAGCAGTTGCTGCATCAGTCTTTTGCCATTCTAACTCTTTCGCCATTTGAACTCTTATGTAAAAAGTGTTCTTTGGTTTAAGTGAACCCAGGGAGGACAAATCACCCAGATGGCCACGGTGCCAATTCGGCAAATACGAAACTGCTTACTGGAATGAGTCAAATGCACGACTGATTAATTGATTTAGTCACATATTCAAAACTTTTGCTTCTTATCCCATTAAAAGTAGCACTAATGAGCGGTGTCTGTGACCTTCCAGTGAGAAGCCGCAAGTTCCACAACCCCTCAGTATTTACCACCCAAATTTAATCTTTTTAATGGACACCTTAAAAGGGATCTGATAGAAAATACTAAGAGCTGCTCAGATACTAAAACACTTAGGGAGGCTTTTGATTAATGTTACATGATTAATCAATTGATTAATATAGTTTTCAATACAGATGTTAGGACACTGTCTACTTTAATCAACCATTCTGAAAATAGTGAAGATAAATGCCGTACTTTTGTGTCTGCTAAAAAAAAAAAAAAAAAAAAAAAAAAAAAAACAACCTTTCTTCAAAGGTTGTTAATTATGACATAAGCCTTATTTACCACACTCAAATTTTATCTAATGTCGACATTTTTATACATAGGAACCATTAATGAGATAAGTGGGATCCTTTTGGCAAAGCCATATTTTAATCACTTTAAAAATAATTTATTTATCCAATTTATGGACATTTTCCTTAATGAGAAATTATTTTGGAATAATGCTGCAGAATGCATTAAAATCTTAAAGTTTTTATTATTATTTTCCAAGACTGTAATTTGTGATGATGCTTTCCACCATACTAAAACTGAAATCTTTATTCCAGTCAAAAATAATCACCCTGTAATTACCGTGACAAACTGCCCAAGCTGTATCATCGTGGCCATTTCAACTAATGATATTGTATTAGAATGCCTAGCAATAGACTTCAAATGGAAAATATAATTATGTGCATTAGTTTGTCTAAGCATTTATAAGATCACATATCCATCAGTTTTCAGGTCTCATAAAGAAAACCATACATCACTGTCACTGTGAGTTTTGTTATTGAAAGCACGGGCCTTTACAAACTGAGCTTAAGATGTGTATCTTAAATTTCACTTGTTTTGTGGATCACTAAAATCCCTGTAAGTTAAGCCAGCATAAATGAGAAGAGCTTTTCCTCTGGTGATGGAGGAGCTGTGCAACATAGACCACTTCACACTCTGACCAAATGGAAGATTAGCCAGCCTCAGACAGCTGAATCTAGCTTTTCCATACCTCTTAAATCTAGGGGAGTCTGATTTGGTATAAAAGTCCATGGAAAGGCTTTTGGGCAAGGTATCAAATTAAAGGTCTCCTACTATTGGCTTCACTGACCTGAAAGAAATCAGAGGAAGAAAAAAAAATCATACAAAAGGAAATGTAAGTGGGAGTTGTGGTGGGAAGGGTGGCGGGGGGAGGGACAAGAAAGTTCTTTGAAAAATGGGCAGTGAAGTTGAATGTATTTAAAATGAATGACAGCATTAAAAGTAAAATATTGATAATAATAATAATTGACTGGACTAGAAATATG